GTCTGTTCTGTAAATAGTTTGAGACCCTGGAGCCAGATGGTGCTGCAAATCCTCCAACCTCCAAAGGAGTCACGTTAAGAAGCACGAGTGGGCACAAAAACTGTTTTTCAAGACACAATTTCAATGTTGGCTTGAGGGAAGTGGATAAGAGTAAGTTTCCTTAACATTCCTGACTAGAAAGAAGCTGTCAGCTCGCGTCCCCTTGATCAGAATTCGCATATCGCCCCCAAGCGGCCAGCCCTGGAAGCGCTGCAGCAATTGGGAGAAGGGACTTGCCCGGGGACTCCGGGGCCGGCAGCTGCAGAAAGGATGCCCTGACGCGCCGTGGGAAGCCGAGCCCCGTAGCCGCCCTGCTGGCCGGCGCGACACCTTACTCACGTCCCTCGCGGGGCGGGGTCAGGCGGAGGACAGGCGTGGGGCGAGGGCAGGAGCGCGGCGCCAAGTGGGCCCCATGGTCCCCACCCCACCTGGATGGATGGACGAGGGTCAACAAGTACCCAAGAGGGAACTCCTTCAACAACTGATTTTCTCATGGTCCTATTTACCCCGTCGGGCTCAGTTTTTCCCGTACAAACGGGCTCGTGTCCACCCTTCAGCCGTCGCGCAGGCATTCAAGGAAACGGGTTTGCCTGAAAGCCCCCCTAAGGGTCTTGGGTGGGTGTCCAGAGCCCCGTCGGCTCGGGATGCGCACACAGCGCACGGGGCCGCGCGGCGCCAGAGCCAAAGTGCTGAGCCCATGAGCGCCAAGGCCGCGTGGGCGGGCACCTAATTTTCTGAGAAGTTCCAGTGCTCCTCGGCCCGACCCCTGTCGCCCCCCTTCCCCTTCTAGCTGGAAAGTTGTGCGCCAAGCAGCGGGGGGCGGAGAGAGGAACCCAGACTGGCCCCCCCTCCCGCTTCCTGCCCGGCGGCCTCCCATTGGCCAGAGGAAACCCCAGGAATGTGAGCGCCTCTTTAAAAGCGAGCGGCCCCGCCGCCTTGCCAGCCAGTGCACTCCGGCCGGCCGCCGAGCGCCCACCACGGTGAGCTCACCCCGCGCAGCCTCCGATCCCTCGGCCTCCGGGCGTACCGCTCTGCCCGCGCTTCTCCAGCGCTCGGTACCGTCGCTGCGCCTTCGTCGCCGGCCCCGGCCTCTGCACCCGTGTCCACACAGGTAAGGAGTCCCTGGGCGGCCGCCGAGGACCAGTGCTGCCCTGGCCATCCACCTGGAGCTTCCAGGCTTCGGCGCCTCAGGGACCCCGGATCTCATACTTTTCGCCTTCCCCATCCTGTTCCTCCCAGCCGCTGGGGGACTCTTCTCATGGAAGGGCTCCAGGGCCATCCTCTCCAGCCCTGGGGTTCACAAACCAACTCGCCAGGACACCCCAAGGTTTTCTTCTCCTCGTCTTCCCTAAACCTATCAGTCCTCTAGAAAAGAGTTTAGACTCCCCCCATGCCCTCCCCGGGCCCCCAAACTATATCTCCTGATGCTGCTGTTTACCCTCAACTTCTTGAGGAAAAGCACCCCGCCCCCCGATTGTTGGTCTTGCCCCACAATCTCCTCCCCTCAACTCTCTCATTTTCTTCGTGCTGCCCTCTCCAAAGTAAGTACTGTTGCCCCTCATTGCCGCAAACGTGGAGCCAAAGGGGGATCCCCAGGGACCCGGCCCCAAGCCCAGCCAGGTTTTGCCCACCCGCCCTGCTTGGCTGCCTCTGACCCTGGGCTCTGTGCTTCCTGCTGCAGGCTCCCTGCTGGGCACAAACAGCTCCACCATGGGGCTGGCCTGGGGACTCAGTGTCCTGTTCCTGTGGCATGTGTGCGGCTCCAACCGCATTCCAGGTGAGTCTGTATAATACCTTTTGAGGGGGGAGGGAAGAGGAAGAGGTCCGGTTACCCCAGGTGTGCCTCCCTCCCATGCACTCCCCTCCCAGCTGCTTCTCCCCTGAGCCCTGACCGAACGTCGGGATGCAGGTTCCCTGTGACCCTGGTGTTTATTCAGCTCTTTCGGTGGCTGCCAGGAGCTTTCACCCTGTCCCTCTGCCCCACACCCCAGAGCTGAGCCCCACCCCAGGCCCAGTCCAGAGAGCTCACCGTGTGTCCTGCTCTTGTCTAATAGAGTCTGGGGGAGACAACAGCGTGTTTGACATCTTTGAACTCACGGGGGCTGCCCGCAAGGGTTCCGGGCGCCGACTGGTGAAGGGTCCTGACCCTTCCAGCCCAGCTTTCCGCATCGAGGATGCCAACCTGATCCCCCCTGTGCCTGACGACAAGTTCCAAGACCTAGTGGATGCTGTGCGGGCGGAGAAAGGTTTCCTCCTCCTGGCCTCCCTGAGGCAAATGAAGAAGACCCGGGGCACGCTGCTGGCCGTGGAGCGGAAAGACCACTCCGGCCAGGTCTTCAGCGTGGTCTCCAATGGCAAGGCGGGCACCCTGGACCTGAGCCTGACCGTGCAGGGGAAGCAGCATGTGGTGTCGGTGGAAGAAGCACTCCTGGCGACCGGCCAGTGGAAGAGCATCACCCTGTTTGTGCAGGAGGACAGGGCCCAGCTGTACATCGACTGTGAGAAGATGGAGAATGCTGAGCTGGACGTTCCCATCCAAGGCATCTTCACCAGGGACCTGGCGAGCATCGCCAGGCTCCGCATCGCCAAAGGAGGTGTGAATGACAATTTCCAGGTGAGGCCTCTTCAATTCCTGGTCCATGGGGTCGACTGAGAGGCAGCTGATCTGCCAGGAGGGCAATCACAGGAGAGGCAGGGGTTCTAGGAGAGGAAATCCTGTCTGTGTATTAAAGCAGCGGTTCTCACACTTCAGGGAGCATCAGAGCCACCCGGAGGACTTGCTACAATGGGTACTGCTGCACCCCACCCCTAGAGTTTCAGATTCAATAGGTCTGGGATGGGGCCTGATAATTTGCATTTCTAACCAGTTCCAGGGTGAGGTTGGCGCTGGTGTTCTGGGGACCAGACTTTGAAAACCACTAAAGGAAACAAGAAATAGTTTTCCTATAACAGCCTGTTCAAAACCTTAAATACTCCTTATGCTCTTCTCAAGGAAATAACTTATTTCAAATGTGTTCCAGCAGTTACAACACTGCTTGAAGTGGGTACTCTTAGGAGCAGAATAAAGACCCCTTTGCTATTTGATTCCTCATGGGGATGTAACCGGTCCCAAAGAAAAGATTAAAATAGTGGCTATTTGCTGCTGCGGCTTCTTCCATGCTTAAACGTCTCGATCTTTGTATCTGTGGCTTTGAAACGCCCACATTTAACTCTTTGACACTGGAGAGCGTCATTATATCCTCCGGTCTCAGTATCAGATTCCATTTCCTGTGTCTCCGAGCAGGCTGATAACTGAATTCTTTGTACAACACTGAAGACTTGGCACAAGACACAGTTAAGATTTTTGAAGTTGTTTGGCTGTTCATGTTGGTGTGTTATTTTGACATGGTGATCTTAAAAAGGAGTTCTTTGAAACTTCTAGAACATCTATTGTGTGCTTTTCCCAGCATAAAGTCTCCCCCACCCCCTGACCCCTGACCCCCCTCCCCCACCAAGCGTCTACAAATAATGTGTGTCCTCTGCCCACAGGGCGTGCTCCAGAATGTGAGATTTGTCTTTGGAACCACACCAGAAGACATCCTCAGGAACAAAGGCTGCTCCAGCTGTAAGTATCCTTCTATTTTTAGGGCATACAGGGAAACTGGGGCAATTCCACCCAAAACAAGTTGAGAAACGTATGCAATGGTGGTTGTGCAAAAATTACCCCGGGGAACATAATTAAGAGGTATATAAAGGTGACCTCCAACAGCACACACACGCATCCCGTCCTCCTGCATCCCTCACCCAAAATGAAATGTCTTTTATGGCTAGGAACCCTGGGAACTGGCAGGTGAGATCTTCTGCTTGAAGATCCTCTATAACTTTCCCCATTGTGTTCCTCTGTTCCTTGGCAGCTACCAGTGTCCTTCTCACCCTTGACAACAATGTGGTGAACGGTTCCAGCCCTGCCATCCGCACCAACTACATTGGCCACAAGACAAAGGATCTGCAAGCCATGTGCGGCATCTCCTGTGACGAGCTATCCAACATGGTCCTGGAGCTTAGGGGCCTGCGCACCATCGTGACCACGCTGCAGGACAGCATCCGCAAAGTGGTCAGTGGCCTCCGCGCCCGCCCCCCCCCCCCCCCCCCCCCCCCGCCCCCCCCCCACCCCCGCAGGGGGGGGCGCCCCCCCCCCCCCCCCCCCCCCCCCGCTAGCACGAGCCCTCGAACGTGTACCACCGATGATGCTGAGGGACTGAAAGTGAGGCTGGACGCTAATGACCTTTCTCCCCCTTTTAGACTGAAGAGAACAAAGAGCTGGTCAATGAGCTGAGGAGGCCCCCGCTCTGCTACCACAATGGAGTCCAGTACAGGAATAGCGAGGAGTGGACGGTGGACAGCTGCACTGAGTGTCGCTGCCAGGTAAGGGGCTCGAGAGACTGAAATACGAATAGATGGTGCATCTGAAGCCACAGTCTCTGGGGGAAGATCCAGATAGCCACACAGGCCTTTTTTATGTTCCATGGCCTGATAACCCAAATGGTGTCTTCTTCTTAAGATGCAGTTATGACATCTATAAAATCTTTAAATGCCCAAGAGTTTTTCAAAGTCTTAATGATACCCCAGGCTAAGTATCTAAAAGAACATATCTACTTAAACATCTCAGTAACTTACCTGCTTTAGTTCAAGGGCTAGGTGTTGAATGTCAGGTAAGTAAAACCTAGTTGAACTTTCTTCCCCCCAACCCTAATTCGTATTCAGCTGTGACACAGAGATTCTTTTAACACAGTACTGATTGCTGTTCAAATCACTTAGCCCACCATGTGAGGACAGAACTGTCCACTTAGCTCAGATGGCACTGCCTGCAGTGCGTATGTCCTTCTGGATCCCCCCGCCCACCCTGCAACGCCAGGGGCAGGGGAGTGAAGGGGGTTTACCTGACTCATTGAGCAAAGTCAAGCTGAAATACAAATCACGGATTGCTGGATTTGCAAGTCAAATTTACTAAATTCCCATTCTTGTCCAATATAATATAAAGCCAGATCTATACATGAGAAAATACGACGCTCATTGATCTTCTTTTCCCCATAAAGATATGATTTAAAACTTTTCAAGTCCTGGCTGAGTTTCATGAGTTTGACTTTTAGATGCAGAGTAATAGATCTGACCCATGACATTCAGTGGTTCCCGCTGGAGAAACTCTTCACGCTGTCCTGTGCATGAGAAAGTGACTAAGTGGCAATTAAGAAAGCTCTCTCCGAGGGGTGGAGTGACAAGTAACTAGCACCAGAACTGTCTCTACAGTACTGGTGGCTGCCAACATGACAGAGGCAGACCTTCTATTAAAATCATTCCACTAGAGCATTTAACAGCCCCGACCACGTGTCAACCTGTAATGGAAATGTTTCAATATGTAAACTTCGGCTTGCAATATGCCTAGTAAACCATTTCTCCCTCACTCTTGCCCTGCAGAACTCAGTTACCATCTGCAAAAAAGTGTCCTGCCCAATCATGCCCTGCTCCAATGCCACAGTTCCTGACGGAGAATGCTGCCCGCGGTGTTGGCGTAAGTTCTTAAAACTGCATAATCATGCTTCAGCGACGGGATCAACTGTACATAGTGCCTGAACCCCACCCCCATCTCCATCAGATGTTTTTCATTCCGTTTCTTGCTGCGACATCTGGTTAACTGATGGCTTGTCTGCTGTAGAGAGCCAGAAGTGCCATTATGACTAAACTTGATTACCCCCCTGGATCACAGTACAGGCAATAATCGTGGTATAGCTTATTGAGAATGATTCTGTGCTTTGAGGAAAGAAGAGAGGAATCGGTAGCAGTGATAGCTCTAAGCTGACTGCTTTTAGAATTTGACCTTATGGCCTACAGTCAAGAAAAATCTGCTCACCAGAGAAATGGATGGCTTTGGTGCGAGCATTGGACTTAATTGGGCCTGAAAGTTCTACCCATTTTGTATACAGACATAAGAGACCTAAGACAAAACAGCAGTTTGAGTGTCAGGGCCATAAAAGAAATAGGGCACTGTGTTGTTTCATGGTACCCAATCCCTGGCTTTTGTTGCCAGTATGAATTAATCACTTTGCTGAGACAATATAGTAGGTACAAGTCATAAAAATGATTCATCACAACGAAGATAAATAAGACGAGAAAGTAGCACTCACCCTTCACACCCACACCTCCCACACCCACTGCACCTACACACACTGATCACAACTCAGAATAACCAGTCCCCTCCAGAGATGTCAGTGATACCAGCACTGTCATAATCATTTGTGTATCGCTTTCTGTTCAGCATTCACTTCAGGTGTGGGTTAAAGGGAACAAAGCCAGCCGGGGACTGGCGGGGCTCTGAACTTCAATCAGGGATTGCTAGGAAAGCTTCCAGCTGATGGCAAGAGAAAACAAGTTCTCTGTCTCGTGTCAGGTACAGCTAGACGTGACTGTAGTCATCGTGCCTGGGCAGATGACAAACAAACGCACTTTCCTCTTGTGAAAATATATGCAGAAAAGGTCCCAAATGCTAGGGTGAGAGAAGCAACATACTGACTAACCTCATGACCGAGCTGGAGCCACAGCCAACAGCGGCTCTGCTGCCTTCAACTTCATCTGCCAAACACATGGTCTCTGGCTCCCCTGAAAGGCAGAAGTGACTCCTATAAGTTGCCTAAAACTCAAAGTATTTTTGGAAGCCTGGGACTGGAACTGCCTACTGAAATATCTCAAGTCAGAAAAGGGAAACTCATTTGAAATGCGGACAGGAGGAGAGAGGGAGTGATGAATAGGAACACACACTGGGAAAAGGCTCAGCTGTACCAGCCCAGGCAAAGCATGCAACCGCTACGAGGCTGTGCACAGAATGATCTGGCATAAACCCCTTGGCCACTGGCCTAACAACTACATTGCTTGTCACCCTCTAGCAAGGGAAGAAGAAAGTCCTGAGCAGAGCAGTCTAAAGAATAGCTTGTTTTAATGATTGCGCGCTAAATGCGCCCATGTCCTCTGCAGCCAGCGATTCTGCGGACGATGGCTGGTCCCCATGGTCTGAGTGGACCTCTTGCTCTGTGACGTGTGGCAACGGAATCCAGCAGCGTGGCCGCTCCTGCGACAGCCTCAACAACAGATGCGAGGGCTCCTCCGTGCAGACACGGACCTGCCACATTCAGGAGTGTGACAAGAGATGTAAGTATCTTGGCCACTGGGGGATGTGGAGAACTGACCTGTCCTTGTCGTCACCAACAGCAGCTCCATAACACAGAGGTTAAGAGCACAGGTTCTAGCCTCTGGACCTAATCCCAAGTCTCCCCCTTATCTATGCACCCTTGAGCACAACTTAGCCTCTCTGAGGCTCTTTGCTCATCTGCAAATCGGGGGTAAGAATAGTTCTTGATAGGGCTAGTTTGAAGATTTTGTTTAGATAATGCATTTAAAGGCACTAGCACAGAGCTTGGCTCATGGGAAGCACCGTATAACCATCTGGTTTGTCCTTTAGTTAAACAGGATGGCGGCTGGAGCCACTGGTCCCCGTGGTCGTCTTGTTCTGTAACATGTGGAGACGGTGTGATCACAAGGATCCGGCTGTGCAACTCTCCCAGCCCCCAGATGAATGGGAAGCCATGTGAGGGCGAAGCTCGGGAGACCAAAGCCTGCCAGAAAGATGCCTGCCCCAGTAAGTGCATGCATCACCCGGCAGCAGCTCTGCCCAGCTGGCTGGCTGGCATCTGCAGCTTCCAGCTCGGTGGGTCATGGACGGGGAAAGGTCCCTTCCTAGAGAAACAAATAGAAGCACCGTCCTGCACAGCGCAGCAGCTTCTTTTAATGGAAAACAGAAAGAACAATTTCAGACTCACCCTCTTCCAGAACATTCTTTCCATGTGTCAGGGTAGCATGAACTCAGGAGAGTCTCCTGTGAAGGTAAGGCGTTTGAAAATCGGCGTTAACTTTGGCCTGTGGTTCATTTTCTTACAGTCAATGGAGGCTGGGGACCCTGGTCGCCATGGGACATCTGTTCCGTCACCTGTGGAGGAGGGGTGCAGAAACGTAGTCGGCTCTGCAACAACCCCACACCCCAGTTTGGAGGCAAGGACTGCGTTGGTGATGTGACAGAAAACCAGATCTGCAACAAGCAGGACTGTCCCATCGGTAAGCCATGCAGCCCAGGACAAAACCACTGAGTGCCATGGTTAGCGTTCACAGGGGTTCGGCTTTGAACGGTCCTGAGTGATTTGATTACTCTAAAATGCCAGATGGAGAGCATAATCTCAACAAGCTATCAGTTGTTTAGACCCTACAATATTTTACACCCTGGTTTAAGTGTCCGGAATGGCAGTTACTGGGAAGCAGCTGAGACCCACCATTTGCCTGTCTCTCTTGTCTCAGATGGATGCCTGTCCAATCCCTGCTTTGCGGACGTCAAGTGTACCAGCTACCCTGACGGCAGCTGGAAGTGTGGTGCTTGTCCCCCGGGCTACAGCGGAAATGGCATCCAGTGCAAAGATGTTGATGAGGTGAGAAGCTGGGAGTTACCAGACCTAGGAAAGCAGCTCACCTGTCCTAGTCATTTCCTTTGGCAGTGTTCTCTAAACACGAAGCAAACTGCTGTTTCTTCCATAGTGCAAAGAAGTCCCTGATGCCTGCTTCAACCACAACGGAGAGCACAGGTGTGAGAACACAGACCCCGGCTACAACTGCCTGCCCTGCCCGCCACGCTTCACCGGCTCGCAGCCCTTCGGCCGGGGCGTGGAACGTGCCACCACCAACAAACAGGTAGAGCAGAGGGGACTCGTAGACGGGAGTGAAGGAGGGGTGTCCTCGAGCGAAAGAGCCATGAAAGGGGGGAACGTCATCTTATACCCTTCACAAAAAACAGGGAAGGGGGTGAGTGGACAACCTAGCCCTTAGAAACGGGACTAGAAAATCCACTGTACCTCCAGCAAGGAAAACAGGTCCATCACATCTGACAATGCTGCTCTGGAACAAGTTGTGAGTGGATGGACTTTTAAGTGCCTAGGTGCTGACCAATTTCAAGGAAAACGCACCTAAAGCCACGTTAGCCTGTAACCTGGACATACCCAGGGGCGGATGGGGAGGACCCACACTCTTCCCACGGAGCTCTGTCTGTTCAGAGACGATGGGGATCTGGGTTCTTGGTTCTGCGGTGTCTGGGGACTCTCGAAGGCTCTGCCTTAAGGTCAGGATGTTGTACCCTCAGGTGTGCAAGCCCCGCAACCCCTGCATGGACGGCACACACGACTGCAACAAGAATGCCAAGTGCAACTACCTGAGCCACTACAGTGACCCCATGTACCGCTGCGAGTGCAAGCCTGGCTACGCCGGCAATGGCATCATCTGTGGGGAGGACACAGACCTGGACGGCTGGCCCAACGAGGACCTGGTGTGCGTGGCCAATGCAACTTACCACTGCAAAAAGGTAGCCCCCCCCCTTTCCTCGCCCACCTCCAGAAAGCCCTTATCAAGGGAACAGGCTGAGGGATTTTAAATGCTTAAAAGTCTGAAAATGAAACTAAAAGATTAAATCATCCAAAGGCAGAGCAGCCCTAATTCTTACTAATATTAAATCATTTGGTGCCAAGAACATGAATGGAGCAGCAGGCCCTATGGGCAGTTGTGTTCCACAGTCGATTATGTTGTCCAAAAAAATGTTCACTTCTCTACCAAATACCAGCAGAGCATGGCTGTGTTCCCAGCGTGTACAAAGTCCGTGTACAAAGTCCGTGTACAAAGTCTAGAGCGTTTATCTCTGGTGCCTGAGCTGAGCAAAAGGCATGCAAACTGCAGCTGTAATGTGTCTTCTCTTTCCAGGATAATTGCCCCAACCTTCCCAACTCCGGGCAGGAAGACTATGACAAGGACGGAATTGGCGACGCCTGTGACGATGACGATGACAATGATAAAATTCCAGATGACAGGGTAAAAAATGTTTTCCACTCCTCTTTCAGCTTCTGTATTCAGCAACAGCCTGTAACACCTTAAGATTCAATGAAGTTACTGATCTCTAGGATCATCAGAAGTTATTTGTTGTGTTTCAGTAGTTTGAGGACATAGATGTTGCCAAGAGAATTTTTAAATGAGGGTTTTGTTTTTCATCACAACCTTCCCTTCCCCCGGTTGGAGCAAGAGGTTACAATATGTGAACAAATGACACTTCGCTCCCCAGATTGGTTTCAAATGTCTTCTCTAAGTCACATTAAGATTTTCTTTGAGTGCACTGAGAGCAGTGATGTTGAGTTTCTATTTACATCTCACTGACTCATAACCAACAGCAATTCATTTTTCATTCATTATGTCCTGGCTTTTAACTTTTGCAGTGACCATTTTACAGAGGATTCAATTAGTATATCCACTAAATAGAAAATAATTGTTGCATATTTTCACAGTTTTATAAATATTCTGCATGTGGTTTGAGGCGGGCTTCATGGACCGTGTTGTAAAATGCTCTGCTTCTTCTCTTTGCAGGACAACTGTCCGTTCCATTACAACCCAGCCCAGTATGACTATGACAGAGACGACGTGGGAGACCGCTGTGACAACTGCCCCTACAACCACAACCCAGACCAGGCTGACACGGACAACAATGGGGAAGGAGACGCCTGCGCAGCAGACATTGATGGGGACGGTAAGGCACTCCCTGGCTCCAGCGGGCCCGAGTGTCTCTCACTTGGCTCTCAACCTTGAGCAGCCCTGGCTGTTAGTGTGCGATTTGGTTGAAACAGCTGAGGCTGGAGATTCCAGCTCTTACCTGTCCCCTGTTCTCTGCAGGTATCCTCAATGAACGGGACAACTGCCAGTACGTCTACAATGTGGACCAGAGAGACACTGACATGGATGGGGTTGGAGATCAGTGTGACAACTGCCCCCTGGAACACAATCCAGATCAGGTCGGTGGATTCCTTTCAGAATCTTTCAGTAAAGTGTTAGAATATCCCTTTCTAGGCCTCTAAAAAATAGAGGAGTTAAACAGAGTTCAAACACTCCCATTACCACGGCTCTCAGTGCTCTCATAGCCAATTGTAATATTTTCATGTGAACAGTTTGCCTGACATGAGTTCCTCGCAGAGTCTCATAGGTCTTTAGTGTGACAGTCTTGTAATGTCAATCCTGTCTTCTACAAGAAGGTCCACGTGACTTGCTCAGCGGGATCTATCATTGTTGAGATAAATTATACAAAGCAGAAATCTGTGACTGACGACTCTACGGGAATATTAGTCATATTTGAAACTAAGAGATGGAAGAAAATATCCCTAAGCACAATACACAACCATTTTCATGGCTAATGATATAATCTGGCTGCAAGAAATTCAAACTAAAAATAATTCTCCCAAACTGGAGAAATCCCTGTTTCTTTGTCATTCTTCAAGTGTGTGGCATTGCAAGCAGATAATTCTCCGTAGCACTGCCAGGGAGTGCTGCAAATAGACATCAGCCAGAACAAGTTCCTTTTCTTGTGTAATTGCTCATCATTATTTTCTAGCTGTGAAAGTTAAGGCATTGTTCTGAAAATATAGAAACCAGCTTTTAAAAAATGGGAATATTTTTAAAAGATTCAAAAAATGAGAAGTCCAGCTGACCTCCTAATGTTTGTTCGTTTGAGCTCCTATAAAACAGAAAGCAACAGGATGAATCTCTTTGGGGCCGGAATGGGAAAGCATGAATGATCTGGGATAGCTTTTCTGATCAAATGGCATTGAGGGTCATCTATTTTGAGTTTGGATCTTACTGTAAATTAAACCTCAATGCCGTTTAACCTCCCTGGATGAGTTTTTGGTTCTTCCGATAATAATAAAGTTTATAACAATTAATGAATCATGTAAAAATCTTAATGGCAAAGAGCATAAATACTGGCAAGAAACATTTCAGCTTGTGTATAAATAATCCCTAAGCATCCCACATACTGTACTCTTGAGAAGTACAGTTTTGAAAAAATTGAGAATTCTGACTACCTGAGCCAGCAGTTGACAACCATTATGGACCAGAGATATAAAACCAAATACCTAAAAAAAGAAGAAAATAATTGATCCCACCATATGGATTTCCAAGTAAGTATAAAAAGCAGTGCCATGTTGCCACGATTTAATGACCTAGAGTAGACGCTGACGTGTCAACAATTTCCTAATTGAAAACTTAAAATGGAAAATAACAAATTGTACTGAAAGAATTTCAGTTATCATTAAAATATAAGCAGTTAACATGGCATTCCATCCTTGGGGATCAGATAATGCTTTCTATTTAATTTTATTTCGACGGTTTTCTATTTAAAAAAAAACAACAAATATCCCTATTAAAACTGTCATATGAAAACAAGAGTCAAGAAGAGAAACATTTAAAATCTGTTAATATGACTAGCTTTTGGCAGTGGCATATAGACTTCAAACCTCACTGGCCGAATCCAACACTGGAGAATCTTCCATCAGTTCTCTTTAGCATCAGTGATTCATACTCCAATTGACCCTCTGTTTCTGTCTCTTTCAGCTCGATTCTGACTCGGACCGCATTGGAGATACCTGTGACAACAATCAGGACATTGATGAAGACGGCCACCAGAACAACCTGGACAACTGTCCCTACGTGCCCAACGCCAACCAGGCCGACCATGACAAGGACGGCAAGGGCGATGCCTGCGACCATGACGATGACAATGACGGCATTCCTGATGACAAGGACAACTGCAGGCTCGTGCCCAATCCTGACCAGAAGGATTCTGATGGTGAGTCACTGGAGCCACTTTTAAAGAGAGTCACTGAAACCATGGCTGTCTGGATTCAGGAAATAAAAACAAAGCTGAATGCATTTAAGGATGAAGAGACCAAATATCAGCTTTGAGAAGACAGTGAATTTCTGGCACCAGTCACGGTTATTTCAGAATTTCACTGAACTCTTGCCTTTTTGGCCTCAGGTGATGGTCGAGGTGATGCTTGCAAAGATGATTTTGACCAGGACAACGTGCCAGACATCGATGACATCTGTCCCGAAAACGTTGATATCAGTGAGACCGATTTCCGCCGATTCCAGATGATTCCTCTAGATCCCAAAGGGACGTCCCAAAATGACCCTAACTGGGTTGTACGCCATCAGGGTAAAGAACTCGTCCAGACTGTCAACTGTGATCCTGGACTTGCTGTAGGTGAGTAGTGAGTTCTTCTAACAAAAGGCCGGTGCATAGAGGGGAAAGAAGCAAATATAAAAGCTGGCAGTCGTGTGTGTCCCCATGGGTGCTAAAAAATGCCTAGGAGTGTAACAGAGAACCTCCCGAAGGCTGCGGGTTTTAACCTGGGTCTGGCCTCCTCTTCCAGGTTATGATGAGTTTAACGCTGTGGACTTCAGTGGCACCTTCTTCATCAACACCGAAAGGGACGATGACTATGCCGGATTTGTCTTTGGCTACCAGTCCAGCAGCCGCTTCTACGTTGTGATGTGGAAGCAAGTCACTCAGTCCTACTGGGACACCAACCCCACAAGGGCTCAGGGATACTCCGGCCTTTCTGTGAAGGTCGTGAACTCCACCACGGGGCCTGGCGAGCACCTGCGGAATGCCCTGTGGCACACAGGAAACACCCCTGGCCAGGTGAGAACAACACCCTGCAGAAGGGGGAGAGGTGCTAGACCAGCACAAGGGACGCTGTGCTTTGGCCAAGCCTCCCACCAGGGAATCTTAGATATCACGTTCCCCGCATCACCAACTGCAGCGTTAAGTTCTGCTTTGAAAAAACATCCTAGGGTCTGAGAGGGGAGCCCACTTCAAATCCAAAGGCAGTTTTAGCCTCTTCAAACAAACAAATAAAAACTTCTCTTCTCTCTGCTTTATATGTACATTCAAGGCTACACATCTAATGAAAAAGGCCTTCGGAAAAAAATCCTACATTGCAGCCCTCTAATTTAGGTCAACTCTGTACCTTTCAAGCACCGTTTCTCATGGAATGAAATATAAATCTCATAATGAGCCTGTTTCAACCTTTTTGTTTCCTTTTCCTCCAGGTACGCACGCTGTGGCATGACCCTCGTCACATAGGCTGGAAAGATTTCACCGCCTACAGATGGCGTCTGAGCCACAGGCCAAAGACGGGTTTCATTAGGTAAGATTGCTCTGATTAAATTTCACTTAAGTCACACTGACTGACGGGAGAGAAGGAGAGGACCAAAAAGCAAGGGTGTCACTAACGCGACTTCCTTTTTCCTGCAGAGTGGTGATGTATGAAGGGAAGAAAATCATGGCCGACTCAGGACCCATCTATGACAAAACCTATGCTGGCGGTAGGCTAGGGTTGTTCGTCTTCTCTCAAGAAATGGTGTTCTTCTCTGACCTGAAATATGAATGCAGAGGTAGGAGCAAAATGACAGTGAATATACCAGTTGACATCCCTAGTTCAGACCAATACCAAGAATGCCAATCATGGGAGAGGCTGATTTAAAGGCTATTTATATTTAAAGGCTATATTTAGAGGCTATTTTAAAGGCTATTTATATTTTGCTGTTGAAGGCATATGATAAAATATGAAATAGTGCCTATGAACTGCAGCTTATGAAGTGCTGAGTCCTTGTGAACCATTTTAATTTAGCAATCTCTGTCCTCTTCATAGCCAGCGCAAAGTAAACTGCAGACAAGCTCCTGTACAGTTCAGACCCCAGCAATAATACCTAAAAATCTTACATTTCCATGTCTTGCACACCACTTAGTTTTATTCATGCCATTACGGCCCAGGTTGTCTTTCAGAACCTTTCCCTCTTGGAAAGGAAGGGAAAGGAGTATTGCCTTCATATTGGCATGTTAAATTAATTTTCACTACTAACCTTTGCTCTCTTTTTCTCCATTCTTTTTCATTTAGTGGTTACTTAAGCTCTCACTGAGTCTAGCATTGGGTCTCCTACAAAACAGGTGCTTAATAAACGTTTACTGGGCCAAGCTTGGAGCCAACAAGATGAAGCACAGTAAAAAAAAATATGGTTGCTGTTACTCAATATTTAAATTATGGTGTAATCTTTGAGTCTTAAGTTGTAAAATAAAACTCCCTAGAGTTTTAACACGGAAAGACTTAGAAAGCACAGCATAAGTTCTAGAAGGTTATGCAGTGTCAATCTCCTAGCAACCATGTTCCAACACACTAACGTGTAATTATATAAGCTGACAATCTTAAAATATGCTTTTGACATTATAAAAGTAGAGCTATGCCTAGGTTGTTAACGTATTGAGGGATATTGAGATGACAATGCCTTGATGAATTAGTTTATGTATTTATGTGTTTGTCTATTTATTTAACAGATTCCTAATCATCAAACCGTTGATGAAAAGACTGCTCATAACCATTGCTGGTATTGCACCTTCTGGAGCCACGGGCTTAAGAAAAACCCCAGGATCACTCCTCCCTGCCTGCCTTTGCTCTCTGCTTGCATCAGTGTGGACTCTTAGAACATGTGACTTGCCTCAAGAAAATGCAATTTTCCAAATCAGACTCAGCATTCAGCCTCTGAATGAGAAGAATCTTCCAAGGATATAAACAATGACTTTGGTTGGCTGTTGAAAAATCAAAAGCATCCACTTGCTTCGGTTGGAAGGTGCCTGTCCCGCTCTGCTTTTTGTCAGGGCAGAGGGCGATTGTGAGGCCAGCTCTGAGCAGTGGACTCCAAAGCGTTTTCAGGCATGTGAGAGAAGGGAGGACTCGCTAGAATTGACAAACAAAACCAGCCCTGACCTACTCCCTCGGGAATGGGGGGGCGGGGCCGAAGCCCTAAGAGGAGGGCGCATACCCAAGAGACGATTGTATGAAGAAAACATGGAGGGACTGTTACATTTTCGGTACTAAATCATTTTCAGGGGAAAGACTGTTGATGGATTTCATGATGCTGACCCATGTTAGCTGATTGACCCACGTAAATAGGCACTTAAATAGAAGCAGGGAAGGAAGGAAAAGACTGGCTTGTGGACTTCCTCCCGGATTTCCACCCCTCACACATCACCTGTAGCAACCAGAACAGGGAGTCAGAACTAAACCAGCACAAGGCAGTGCTGGCTGCCACTGCCTGGTTATATTGAAATTGTCAGTTGTATTCCAGACGTAGCTTGTGCTGATGTAGCAGGGAAATAAGAAAACCTACCATCTCAGTGAGCACTGGGCTACCTCCCAAGGGAAAGGTAGCCGTGCTTGTATTTTTATGGTTAGAAAGGCACAAAATTATCAACTAAGACATTCCTTTTCTCTCTTTTTTCCTGAATATCATGGAGTTTTCCAATTTTCTCTTTTGGACTGTAGTTTGGTGTTTGTTTTTTTTTTTTTTTTTTTACAAACATTTTACAATGTAAAATATTTATTTTTTACTTATTCTGGAGGATCTGTCTGAAAGACTATTCATGCAACAGGAAGAAGCGTAAGCATATCATCTTTGCTACAAGTCTTCATGACTGTAAGATTGTAAATACAGATTATTTATTAACTCTGTTCTACCTGGAATCTAGGTTTCATACGGAAAGTGTTTGAGAGCTGGTAGTTGAGATTGATCAGCAAAACTTTCATAGGAATGGCACAAGGAAATCAGCACAGCAAGCTGCTCTTCATTTTGTGCTTAGACTGAATGATTTGGGATTCTTCTTTTTTCCTTTATTTTTTTCAAGTGGAATTATTTGGTTGTCCATTTGCAAGTGTTTTTAGTTTGCAAAGAAAGCCAGGAGGGCTTTAATACTGTTTTGCTCCATCCCTTGTGCCTATTTCCAGGGAGATGAAAAGCATCTACATTTATTATTTTTGCCTTTTTCCAAACGAAAAAAATGACAAAGGTGAAACTTGTATACAAATATTACCTCATTTGTTGTGTGACTGAGTAAAGAATTTTTGGATCAAGCAGAAAAGAGTTTAAATGTCTAACAAACTTAAAGCTACTGTAGTACCTAAAAAAAAAAAAAGTCAATGTTGTACATAGTATAAAAATTCTTCACAGAAAAGTATTCCCAATAAGGAAATAGCATTGAAATGTTAAATACATTTTCTGAAAGTTGTGTTTTTCTATCATCTTGTATACCATTGCTTTATTTTTATAAATTATTTTCTCATTGCCATTGGAATAGATATCTCAGATTGTGTAGATATGCTATTTAAATAATTTATCAGGAAATACTGCCTGTAGAGTTAGTATTTCTATTTTTATAAAATGTTTGCACACTGAATTGAAGAATTGTTCGTTTTTCTTTTTGTTTTGTTGATTTGTTTTTTGCTTGTTACCCTCCTCCCTGTTTTTACTATTTGCCAATACTTTTCTAGGAATGTGCTTTTTTTGTACACATTTTTATCCATTTTACATTCTAAAGCAGTGTAAGTTGTATATTACTGTTTCTTATGTACAAGGAACAACAATAAATCATATGGAAATTTATATTTATACTTACTGTATCCGTGTTTATTTGTTTTCTGGCTTTATGTTATGAGGTATGGGTAAATTCCATCCTCAAACCAATAGAGTATATACACAAAGAAAACACAGTAACAGGAACATTCGTATTTCCTATACGATTTAGGAAGACTGAGTTGCTTAGATGACATATTTGCTGGATTTGTGGAACAGAAGAACAAGACAAAAATTAACCTGTCATATTAAAAACACAGCAATGAGAAATGTCCCCCCGAGATGTGGGACCCAAAAGGATACAAGTTCATATTTTACCAGTGTCACTAAATGTCATTTATTGAATCCTTTTCAAAGTCCAGTGCTGTTTCTAAAAACAATGAAAAAGGAAAACAGGAGTGAAGCACACAGAATTCACAGCTACATCTTCTGAGCCATGAATGAGGGCACTGGGTGGGCAACACCACTGCACGTTGTGGAGAAGCTTTAGAAACGTTAATGGAGGAAGAACTGTCCTCGAAAAGTTGGGTCAAACTCTACAGGTAACACTTTTTGGAGAACGACTATACCTTTGGTCAAAAACGGATGACTACAGAGACAGGTCGAATTTGGATGAAATCCTAAAAACATATATACGTATAAAAAATCAAATTATTTTGTGAAGAGAAGGCCAATGCCTTACAATAAGCAGAACTTGAGTTTCAGGTGGGATAACCATGAATGTAGAATACTGGCCAATTTTTAGTTTTAATAAGAACAGGTAGAATAAAAAAAATTATGAGTAGGTTAAAGGTCTCACTTTGAGATCCATTAAAACAAAAAGGACTAGCTGAGTGAGATAGACTCTTTCTCCTTGTTGATCTTTCGCTCTCATTCTAGAAACATCTATCTAGGGTAGCATAGTCCTATATAAGTATAAATTGCCAAATCATTTTATGGTATCCAGGTGAAGAGTCAGGAACTAGAAGGTATTGGTAATGGTTATAAAATTTGGAAAACTGATTTGAAAGAAATAATTCTTTGAAACATGACATTCACTCTCTGAGCAGCTCAACGTGTGAAGTCTTGGGAGAGAATTCTAATTCACTTTTAAGTAACAGAACAAAAGTAACTCAAAATATCAAGATGGGACAGAAAAAAGTGTCTGGGAACAGGAGGTTTTTCCCAGGCATGCTGCATATTCACTCCAAGACTGACCTGCATATCAGGTTGTACTAAAATACAGGATGTGTTAAAAATTAAAATTATGCCATCGGGGTATAGCTTTTTCCTTCTATTTTATTGTCATGCATTTCAAAGAGTTGGATAGGACGGCAATTTTAGGTCCTCTGGGAATTTACAATAAAGGTGATGCCAGTAATTTTCTTGAGGAGTCATAAGTAGAAAAACCTCAAATTTTAAGATCCTAAATTCATTCCTGAAATGAATTAGCTCTTGCTCTTTTATATCTTTTCTTCTCTATCTTGTTCTGGGGCAAACACTCAGGTCTAAAAGGAACCTTAAAAATAAAAACTTATTTTTTAATAACATTTTCTTTCCCTATCAGGGCCTTTCTTTTTTTTTTAATCTGGAGCCTTCATGTTGAATATATTATACAAATTCAGCTTGCCAGTTCTTATCAGAGGTACCTTCAGTTGACACGCTATGGAATGGTGTCACCTCTTTCAATGGGAAAATTCACTACTTAAAATCATTCTGTTTTCCTTTCCTTCTCTTAAACTCTTGTAACATAAAGATTCACTCTGCCGCAAATACCATTTGCAGGAACAGTTTACAAAGGCATAAGCTCTCTCTCCAACACCTATCTCCCTCTCCCCTTCTCTCCCTCTTTCCTGCTCTCCCTCTCTCCCTCCCTCTCCCTCTCTCTTTCTCTCTCTCACACACATACACATACATGTCAAACACCAGAAGCACATGGGTTTAGAAAGCCCCACTCCTCTGAAAGGCTTATGGGCAAAAATGGCTCCTCTCTATCACCACTGCAAATCCCCATCCATACCACCTCTCTCCTCCGATTGTTCTGACCCAAACCCTACGCCACACACGTCACGCCTATCAGAGTCCAAAATCATTATTTTTAAGCTCTGCTGGCAACCCACAGCAAAACTCTTAGCATCAAGACAAATTACACTGTAGCGCATTAACATCAACAAGAACCACTGCTGTTTTAATATAAACTGAAAAAGGCTAGAAAAAGAAATTGCCTATCAATTCTTCTGAAAACAGTAGCTATAGAAGTCTTCACTTTAAAAAGTCAAGCAAATTTGACGTAAGCAATCACTAATATTATCCAATATCAGTAGATGAAAACATTCGAGTGAAAAATAATAATGCTACATATACATTATTACAAATTTTGTTAAATGCTGCACAATAGCTTTTTTTTTTTTTTTTAGAATCAGAAATAAATTGGACTTCTAGTTCTAATGCCAATTCATCATATGGAGTGTTCACATAAAATGTTCTCATGAATCCAGGCTACTCACTTGTAACTAACAAACCCTCTCTCTTCAAATAGTACCACAGGTTATTTTTTTTTAAGTAGCTGATCTTTATTTGCTGCATTGTAAAAGGCAAACTCTGAAAGAAAATAACTAAATATAACATATGTAATAATTCAGTCAAACTTCTGCTTATGAAAAGTACCATTACTAATAAGATAGCAAGGATAGCCTAACATTGCTTTGTTGAGAAAATTCATTTCTCTCCACGGCAAGTTGTACTTACTTAACAGGCATTAGAGAGGAGGAAAGCAGGGGCAAAACTACAATCCATGGTGATCAAATCTGTCTAAATCACAATAAAGTGGCAACGTATCAAATCAAATACAAAACAATCATAGCATTTCAACTAGTTTTAACGTAGCACACATACATAAATGTTGGTTTCTATAACGTATCCCTGATGTTGCAAATTTAGCAATAAAAAATTTTCCCAGGAATTTCAATGAGGAAAAACCACTGAACAATTATACCACGAGTCTCAAAAATATCAAGGAAATGTGATCCAGAAAGAGAGAATCCAAACATTAAAATCATCATTTGAGGAATGGTCTCTATAATGCATTCATTGAATTCAAAGAATTTGGAAAAAATGTGATTTAACTTAATTTACCAGCTTTCTTAAAAGCACACCCCAGCGAGTCTTTGCTTAAGATCCTTTACATTCTTCTGTTACACCTTCAGTCTCCTGTTCATCTGCACATTAAAAACAATAACCAAATATGTCAGAAATCTGTGCATAATTAAGAAAGACCATCAGCCTATAAAACATTAAATCCTTTTACACATGAGACAATAATCACATTCTCATTTAATATTGGACAGCTCACCACAAGCTGCATACAAAATTGACAAGAAAAAGTGAGAGATAAGGTGCCTGCCTTCATTGAGCTTATAGCTGAGGGAGAGTTTTTTGGGTTTTGAGAGCTAAAATGGCTTTGGATTTGGAGACAGGCATAAAATTTTTTTTCTTTGTACTAAGTTTCTGGGAAGCAGGGTGAAACCAGAAGTAAATATTATACTTAGGGTAGATTAGAACTAATCACCTTTCATTTCTTTAATGTGAGAAACAAATTGTGACTCTCACAGAAATGGAATGGAAATATTCTTAGTGAGAATGTTATCAGAAAAGGCAGAACTGACAACAGCACCAAATAAAAGAAGACAATAAAATAGAATCAGGAGAAACTGGAACCCTCACACACTGCTGGTGGGAATGTGAATGGTGCAGCTGCTGGGGAAAGTCTAGCAGTTCCTCAAAAGGTAGCCAGAGACCCAGCAATTCTACTCCTAGGTATGTGCCCAAGAGAAATGAAAACATACATCCGCCTAAAAACGTGCACACCAAGATACATATAACAGCCAAAAAGTAGGAACAGCTCAGATGTCCATTGACTGATGAATGAATAAAGAAAATGTGGTAAACCCACACAAAAGAATATTATTTAACAATAAAAGAGTAAAGTACTGATACATGCTCCAACATGGATGAACCTTGAAAACATTATACTAAGAAGCCAAACACAAAAGGCCACATGTTGCATGGTTCCATTTATATGAAGTGTCCAGACTAGGCAAATTCATAGAGTCATAAAGTAGATTAGTGATCACCTACGGCTGGGGGGTTGGGAGAAAATGGGGAGTGACTGCAAGTTGGTACAGTGTTTTTCCCTGGGGTAAGGAAAAGGATGTAAAATTGATAGTGGTGATGGATGTGCAATTCTGTGAATATACTAAAACCCACTGAATTGTATGGTATCGTTGAACGGTGGCCCCAAAAAGGTTATGTCCACATCCTAATCCCTGGTACCTATGAAACTTATCTTACTTGGGAAAAGGGTCTTTGCAGACATAATTAATTAAGGATCTTGTGATAAGATCATCCTGGATTATCCAGGTGGGTCCTATATTCATTAACAAATGTCCTTTTAAGAGAAAAGCAGAGGGAAATTTGAGACAAACGCAGAGAGAGAAGAAGGCAATGTGAAGACAGAGTCAGAGACTGGAGGGATGTGGTCACAAAGCGACGAAGCCAAAGAATGTCAACAGCCTGAGAAAGTGGCAGAAGCAAGGAAGCATCCTTCCCTAGAGCCTCCAAGCAGAGTGTGGCCTTGCTGACACCTTGATTTCAGACTTCAGGCCTCCACAACTAAGAGATGATAAATTTCTGTTGTGATCATTTGTTGTGGTAACCGCAGGAAACTAACACAGGTATTTAAAAAAGATGTCAATAAAGCTGTAATTTTAAAAATCAACCTAATAATTAAGGGTAAATGATTTGGAGTTTCAGAGAGTAAAGTGAGAAATGTAGTGATAGTGTCAATGCATGGAGAGGAAACAGTAAACAGGATGAAGAGGAAGGTGGGATGGATGAGAAGTGCACCTCAGTAGCCCACACATGCCCCTCGCCTTCGTAAGTGCTCATCCTTCTCTGTGGAGTGTTTTCCCTCTTGCCCACCCAGTAAATGACCACTCATCCTTGGAGGCTCAATTCAAATGCCACCTCCCCGTCTCTCCAGTGTTCATCATTCCCTCTAGTGTTGTCAAATACTTTGTCAGGAAGCTCTTATATTCTACTTGTCCCACTATGCTGCGATGATCTGCTTAAGCGCCTGCCTTCATCAGTAGCCTATGAAATAATTCAGAGCAGTGATCATGTCCTACTCACCTGATAACCTAGGAGCAGCATCCTTCATGAATGAATACAATGGAGCCCTGGAGCAGTGGTTTTAATCATAGCTACACAACAGAATCATCCAGACCCCATCCTCAGAACTGACTTTAAAAAATACAGATGCCCAGAGCCAACCCCTAGAAATCAATTTAATTCTGGAATGAAACCGAGGCATTCACCTGTTTTTAAATCTCACCAGATGAATCTAATGTGCAGTCAGAGGTAAGAAGCATGGTGTAAGGGATGGACTCAGTAAAGCTTAACATGCCAGGCGGACCTGAGGCAGATGCCAAGGAGAGAGGTCTGAAAATCAAAAGTACACAAAGCACAGATGATCCCATACTGGCTAAGTGTGTCTCCAAATAAAATACTAACCATGAAAGAGTAGAGAACTTAAGCTAGGACATGCTTGCTCTCAGTGCTTAAGAGGAAGGTTACCCACAAGAAGGACAACAGGGATGGTTGGGGAGATAAGAAGACAATCTAGAAAAGGTAGTGACCTTCATTAAAATGAAATTCAAGAAGATAAAGCAGGGATTGAGCAGATGGGAAAGAAGATACTTTCTGACATTATTTTCACCACCACCACATATGCTGGTATTTTTTATAATCCTAAAATAGAGTGACTAGCAAACCATCTAATTCAGATCTTCTCACACTTTACTGTGCATACAAATCACCTGCTGGGGGCATCCTGTTAACATGCAGACTCTGATACGGTAGGTCTGGGACTCTGCAGCTCTAACAAGCTCCCAGGTGATGCTAATACCGCTGGTCCATAGATCTAGTCTACAGTAATGATCTTCAGTAACTTTTTCATTTTACTCAATTTGAATGAAGCAATGGAATCAGAAGTTCCCAATACCTGATAAAGTGATAAGTTCATTACAGTTAAACATCAAAACTCTCCAACACTGTTCATTTTATGCTACTAAACAAAACAGTTAGAGAAAGTGATATTTTATAGTAGAGAAAATAATCAGGGGCAAATGTTTATATGAAAAGTCTACCTGAAGAACTGAGTTAAAGAAAATTAGATGAAAGTAATTTGAAAAGATAAATTCAGCAGATATAAATTTACTGTATACTAAGGTCTTATATAAAACAGGAATTAGCCCTGGGAATTTCTAACATGGCAGCTCTGATATTTTGATCAAAGAAACTTTGGAGGGTTGATTAAGCTACTAAGAGCATCTGAGAAGCAATCAGTAGCCTTGGAAAAGTAATTTAACAAATAATAACTAGGAGGCCTGAAGACACACACTGAGAGAAAGAGAACTCCATCAAAGCAATGATGAGTTAAACATTCCCCTGAGAACAAGACAAAATATTTTTTAGTGGAAAAGAAAAAATATTTTTTAGTGGAAAAGAAAAAAGTCAGCTAGTAGTAGTATTATTTTCAGAATCTCACTGCCTCCACTGCAAACCAGTAAGACTATAGTACAACAATGAAAACTTTCTCAAAACAATCTAGTTCCCTTCAAACTGTTCAGGTGGTATGAGTAATGATACACACTAACACACACCTCCTTCAAACTGCAACATCTTCCCAAAAGTCAGTCCACCTGCAACCATGCTTCACTGAGCAAGTTACAATCAGATCCTTTGATGGGCAGAATTTCAACATGAAATATATTTAGATTGTAAAGTTGTCATTGTTTAGAACTTGTTCTGTCTGAGGACCCCAACAGGATAACATAATTAGCTTTCCTACATCTAAACCGAATGCCATATTTCTCAAATATGCACAGCAAAATCTTGTGGCTTGCATTAATTTGACAGACTGAATACTCTACATCAGGGACTCTGATTTTGGCAAGTCTGGCTTGGGCCTTGGACATAGGTACAAAACAAACAAAAAATTTCCCAGATGATCTCTACCTTCACCCTGGTTAGGAATAACGCTCTGGTGGTTTGTAACAATGCTTTCTCAAACTTCACTGTAAGTACCACAGGGGGATCTTATTAAAGTGCAAGAGGCCTTAGGCCCTGCATTTCTAACGAGCCCCCAGTGATTGGACAACACTCTAAGCAGCAAAGGCTTATAACATGGGATGGAAATCATATGGTCCCAAAGGACCAAGCACATGAAGTAGAGGGCCAGACAGGGCCATGTTTTCCAGGAGAGTACATGCTCCTTCTAAAGGGAACATCTGCTATTCAGCTCTCCTCCCCAGTGGAAGACCTGCTGATTTGTTAGAAAAGTCAGAAATCCAGGCTTTTATGAGAAATCTCCTGATGAAATGTTAAATATATACTATGTAGGCCAACCAAGTCCAGTCACTGAGCTAATCTTTTTTTTGAGCTAATAATTTTATGTGGCTTTTCTCATTTGATCCCTATTACAACCCTAGAGGGTAAGTACTAAAGCCAACTTATCTTACAGATAAGGGGACCAAGGTAGAGAGGAGAAAGAGATTAAGTAACTTGCGTAAGGTCATCTGCTAAAAACCGAGCAAGGATTCAAACCTAGGTCTGTCTCACCCACAGCCCACACTCCTAACATTAGGCCAGATCATGCTGGTGGGTGGGTGAACAAGGCATCTCTCTGCTCATCTAGGTTCTAGCCTCGAATCTCACTACTTACCTGGACTCTATTAACTTTGTCCTTTGGGTAATTAATTTGCTCCTTGGTTTTATGTTCTCAGTTTCAATTTAGAGTGACCAACCAGCCCAGTTTGCCAGGGACTGAGGGTTTCCCAAGACAAGGGCCATTCAGTGTAAAACCAGGACACTCCTGAGCAAACCAAGACAGTTGGTCACCCTAGTTTTCATTTAGGGGTGTTATTTTAAAAACAACCTTGGGGGCTTCCCTGGTGGCGCAGTGGTTGAGAGTCCGCCTGCCGATGCAGGGGACACGGGTTCGTGCCCCGGTCCGGGAAGATCCCACATGCTGCGGAACGGCTAGGCCCATGAGCCATGGCCACTGAGCCTGCGCGTCTGGAGCCTATGCTCCGCGACAGGAGAGGCCACGACAGTGAGAGGCCTGCATACTGCCAAAAAAAAAAACACCTTATCTGTTAGAAATTTTTAAGAACATTATTCACTAAATGGGTCCTATGGGAAATTCCACTTTGTTTTTCCATGAAGAATTAATATAGTCCTGTCCCCCTTCTTTACTATGTGACTTTGTGTCCCTTTTTGCCCTATTTTATTGTTGTTATTTGTTAATCATATTTTCCTCTTTGTGTTAATGAATTTATGTTGATAAGCAGTTCAAGTGCCTTTTGGGAAAAAGAGAATACTGTACATGCATAGATGCCTTTTTGATTATCTAGGAAGCAATTCAGCATAAGATACTTAAGTACTAGACTAACCATAGACCTGAAGCACCAGTGTACTTGGTGGTGTCTCCCAGGTTGATGGGACCAAAGACCACTTACTCTCCTTACACTTCCATGTGGAGGAACCTACAGTGGGGGTATATCCAGCATCACCCCACCCCACCTCCCCTCTCCCCATGGGAAGAACAGTCAGTTACCTGATTGGTGAGTTTAGGGGAAGAAATGGCATGCTCAGCTCACTCCTCCCTCCAAGGGGGTCAGCATCCCCTGCCCAGGGTGCTCCTTTGCTCCTCTGTACTGTTGCTCCACGTGGACAGGTCTCCATGGGTGAGGCTTTTCACCTCTGCCAGTGACTGGGTGTGTAAGTTCATTTTGAGGGTGTAGCATTAGGAAGACCGTTTGGCTGCCTGCCCAGGTAACAACAATCCCCTACGTTTTATCAGCAATAAAGCCAACCTCCTTGATCTCCACTTGTCAGAATCTATCCATCTCTCAACTGGTCTGATAGGGGTGGGGAAGAGAAGGGACTATTTATCGATCTCCTGAAACCCCAACAGTAAGTGAGTACAACACTGACCCTACTGGGCCTTGTATCTGGAAAGTCAAATAACAGTAGTTACCACTAAGCTTAAAGCACAAACATGACAAATTAAGTATTTCAGGAGAAGGGATCAAGGTGGCAGAGTAAAAGGACATAAGGCTCACCTTCCCCCACAAACACATCAAAAACACATCTCCATGTGAAACAATTCTCTCTGAAAACTGGCAGAAGGACTCCTATACAACCAAGGCTGTAAGAAAGATACACAGAGAATCAGGCAGGAAGAGAAGAAAAGCAATCGGGTTGGGACCTGTGCCCCTGCAATAGGAATCGGAGGAAAAGGGAGATTACACGGGCGGACACCTGCACTGGGGAGTGAGCAGTTCGAGCCACAGATTGGGCACCCCAGGCTGGGGTCCTACACAGGCGAGACAAGCCCCCTTAGCTGGCTGGAGGACCACTAGGACAAACAGAAGGGCTATGAGAACCCTGGACTCTGCCCCTGAGGAGCGTAGGTGCACTGACTACCCCCAGGCAGGGCGGAGAGACGTCTGCTCAGGGCAGCCAGGTTTCCTGCAACGGCAACCACCTCGCCGTGTGCCCAGCCTGACCTACAGCCCTGCTACCCCCATGCCACAGCATGGCACTGGATCTGAGGCACCCATGACCAAGGAAAGACTCAAAGGTGGGACACAGAGGCAACCCAGTCCCAAGGTGGAGCCCGGGTGGGGTGGCGGTGGCCACAGCTGGAGTTTACTCAAGCGGCTCCTCAGAAGCCACCCAGATCTCTGACAGCAGTTCCTCCACCACAGCTCACCTCCTGATACACATCAAGAGGGCACATGGCTCCTGCTAGCCTTGCAGAGTGGCTAAGCCACAGGGCAGGGGTGGTAGAGTCTGGGGGCAGTGATCAGCTGTGAGGGGCAAAGGGGACTTGCACCTGAGGCTGCGTCTAAGCAAAGACATGGGTGCCTCCACAAGCATCACATCCGACCACTGTCAGTGCATGGGCCCCACTTACTTCAGCACTGCCTCCTGTGTGACAAGGGTCCCGGTACAGGGAGAGGGAAAAACACACACTTAAAGGGAGCAGAGCCAGCTCGGGTCCAACCTCCAGGGCTTCTGCTCCAGCAACTTGAGATCAGACCTCACCCCTAACAGGGCAGTGACAGCCACTGAGCAGAGAGGGAGTCCTACTTCATACACAGCACCAGTTCTAGCCCCTATATCTACAGCCCCACCCCCTACCAAGGGGATAGCTGCCGGAAAACCCTGAGGAAAAATATGACTTGGGTTGACCTCAATCCAGCTCTCCCACCCAAGGCAATGCTACATGCAGCCCACACAGGGATGCTCCCACATAATAACCCCCCTTTAAGAACACAATCAGTAACTGTTTTACCTAAATTCACAGAAGCAGAGAAAGTCAAGTAAAATGAAAAGGCAGAGGAACTACTCTCAATTGAAAGACAGAGAAAAACCCTGAAAAAATAAGTAATAAAATAGTAATAAACAATTTACCAGATAAAGAATTCAAAACATTCATAATAATAAGGTTAACTGAATTAGGGAAAAGGATTGATATAAACAGTGAACATTTTAACAAGGAACTAGAAAATATAAAAAAGACCCAATCAGAAATGAATGATCCAATAGCTGAAATAAAAAACACACTAGATAGAATGAATAGCAGATTAAGTGATACAGAAGAATGAATAAGTGATCTGGAAGATAAAATAATGGAAATCACCCAATCAGACCAGCAGACAGAAAAACTAATTTTAAAAAATAAAAGCAATTTAAGAGATCCCTGAGATAACATTAAGCATACCTACATTCACATTATAGAAGTCCCAAAAGGAGAACAGAGACAGAAGGGGATAGAAAATGGATTTGAGGAAATTATGGCTGAAAACTTCACAAAACTGAAGAAGGAAACAGATATCCAAGTACAGGAAACTCAGAGAGTCCCAAACAAGATGAACCCAAACAGACTCACACCAAGGCATATCATAATTAAAATGACAAAAGTTAAAGAGAGAATTCTAAAAGCAGCAAGAGAAAAACAAAGAGCTATATAAAAGGGAATTCCCATAAAGCCATCAGCTGATTTTTCTGCAGAAGCGTTGCAGGCCAGAGGGGAGTGGCATGATATATTCAAAGTGCTGAAAGGGAAAAACTTGCAACCTAGGATACTCTATCCAGCAAGATTACCACTTAGAATAGAAGAGATAAAGAAGTTCTCAGACAAGCAAAAACTAAAAGAACTCAGCAATACTAAACCTACCCTAAAAGAAATATTCAAGGGTCTCCTGTAATTGGAAAAGAATAAAGAATCTATAGGAAAGGGAAAATCCCACTAGGAAAGGCAAATATATAGCAAGGATTGAGGATCAACCACTTAAAAAGCCAGTATGTAGATTAAAAGACAAAATATTGTAAAAGCAACTATAACTACAACAAACAGATAAGGGATGCATGAAGATGTAAAATATGACATGAAAAACACAAAATGTGAGGGAGTGAAAAATGTAGATCATTTAGAATGTGTTTGAACTTAAATGACAGCCAGTTTCAAACAAGTACATATAATTATAGATCAACATATATGAACCCCATGGTAACCACAAATCAAAAACCTAAAATAGATACATAAAAACTAAAAGCAAAGGAACACAAGTATACTATTAAACAAAATCATCAAACCACAAGGGAAGAAACAAAAAGAAGTAATAAACAGAGAAGAAAACAAGTAATAAAATGGCAATAAGTACATACCTACCAATAATTACCTTAAATGTCACTGGACTAAATGCTCCCAGCAAAAGACACAGGGTGGCTGATTGGGAAAAAAAACAAGACCCTTCAATACGCTGCCTACAAAAGACCTACTTCAGGGCTGAAGATACACACAGACTGAAAGTTAGGCAATAGAAAAAGGTATTTAATAAAACAGAAATGAAAAGAAAGTAGGGATAGCAATACTCATATCAGACCAAACTTTAAAACAAAGCCTATAACAAAAGGGCATTATATAATGATAAAATACAAGAAGAGAGTGGTACACTTATTAACATACAGGCACTCAATACAGGAGCACCTAAATATATAAAGCAAATTCTAATAGATATAAATGGGATAAATTGGCAATAATACATTAATAGTAGAAGACTTTAACACCTCACTTACTATAATGGATGTATCATTGAGACATAAAATCAATGAGGCAACAGTGGTCTTATGATACAATAGACCAGTTGGATTTAATAGGTATCTACAGGACAGTACATCCAAAAACAGCAGAATACACATTCTTTTCAAGTGCACATGCTAGGCCACATGCTAGGCCACAAAACAAGCCTCAACACGTTTGAGACGACAGAAAGTATATCAAGCATTTTTTCTGACCACAACAGTATGAAACTAGATATCAATTACAAAAAGAAAAATGGGAAAAGAACAAACACGTGAAGACTAAACACCATGCTACTAAAAAAACCAATGGGTCAAAAAAACCCAAAAAAAACCCAATGGGTCAATGAAGAAATCAAAGAGGAAATCAGAAAATACCTCAAGACAAATGAACATGGAAACATAACACTCCAAAATCTACAGGATGCAGCAAAAGCATTTCCAAGAGGGAAGTTCATAGAGATACAGGCCTTTATCAAGAAATAAGAAAAATCTCAAATAAACAACATAACCTACCACCTAAAAGAATTAGAAAAAAAAAGAACAAACAAGGCCCAAAGTCAGCAGAAGGAAGGATATAATAAAGGATTTATAAATTGAAGGATTTATTTCAAAGAGGAAATAAATAAAATAGAGACCCAAAAAATAGAAAATATCAATGAAAACAGGAGCTGTTTTCTTTTGTAAAGGTAAACAAAATTGATAAAACTTTAGCTACATTCACCAAGAAGAAAAGAGGAGAGGACCCAAATAAAATAAGAAATAAAAGAGAAGAAAAGCAACTGATACCACAGAGATACAAAAAATTAGAATAGAATACTATGACCAATTATATGCCAACAAATTGGACAACCTAGAAGAAATGGACAAATTTCTAGAAACATACAGCCTTCCAAGACTGACTCACAAAGAAACAGACAATTTGAACAAACCTGTCACTAGTAGTGAAATTGAATTTGTAATAAAAAAAAAACTTCCCAGCAAACAGAAGTCCAGGACCAGATAGCTTCATGGGTAAATTCTACCAAACATATAAAGAAGAACTAGTACCCATCCTTCTCAAACTATTCCAAAAAAACTGAAATGGATGAAACACTCCCAAATTCATTCTACAAGGCCACCATTACCCTGATACCAAAACCAGACAAAGATACTACAAAAAAAGAAAATTACAGGCCAATATCTTTGATAAATGTAGATGTAAAAATCCTCAGTGAAATATTATCGAACCAAATCCAACAGTATACAAAAAGGATCATACACCATGATCAAGTAGGATTTATCCCAGGGATTCAAGGATGGTTCAATATCTGCAAATCAATCAATGTCAAACACCACACTAACAAAAGAAAAGATAAAATTACATGATTATCTCAAGAGACACAGAAAAAGCATTTGACAAAATTCATCATTCATTCATGAAAAAACTCTCATCCAAGTGGCTCTAGGGGGAACATATCTCAACATAATAAAGGCCATTTATGACAAACACATAGCTAACATCATACTCAACAAAGTTAAAAGCCTTTCCTCTAAATTCAAGAACAAGATAAGGTTGCCCACTCTTGAAACTTCTATTTAACATAGTATCGGAAGTACTAGCCACAGCAATCAGACAATAAAAAGAAATAAAAGGCACAGAAATTGAAAGGGGAGAAGTGAAACTGTCACTATTTGCAGATGACATGATACTTTAATATAGAAAACCCTAAAGTCTCTACCCAAAAGCCATTAGAACTAATAAATGAATTCAGCAAGGTAGATGATACAAGATTAATATACAGAAATCTATTGCTTTTCCATACACTAATAATGAACTATCAGAAAAAAAGTTTTCCCTTTTTAAACCAATCTCTTTTAAAATCACATCAAAAAGAATAAAATACCTAGGAATAAATTTAACGCAGGAGGTTGAAGACCTATACTGTGAAAACTATAAAACATTGATAAAGGAAATTGAAGATGATACAAAGAAATGGTAAAATATCCTGTGCTCTTGGATTAGAAGAATTAATATTGTTAAAATGTCCATACTACCCAAAGCAATCTACAGATTTGATGCAATCCCTATCAAAATACCCATGATATTTCACAAAACTGGAACAAATAATCCTAAAATTCAGATGGAACAACAAAAGACCCCAAATTGCCAAAGAAATCTGGAGGAAAAAAAGAAGAAAGCAGGAGGTACCACCCTCAGTCTTCAAACTATACTACAAAGCTACAGTAATCAAAACAGCATGGTACAAAAACAGGTACATAGATCAACGGAACAGAACAGGGAGCCCAGAAATAAAACCACACACTTATGTTCAATTAACCTATGACCTAGGAGGCAAGAATATACAATGGAGAAAAGACAGTCTCTTCAAGAAGTGGTGCTGGGGAAACTGGGCAGTTACAAGTAAAAGAATGAGATCACAATATTTCCTCACACCATAATCAAAAATAAACTCAAAATAGATTAAAGACCTAAATGTAAGACCTGAAACCATAAAATTCCTAGAAGACAACATAGGTATAACATTCTTTGACATAAATTGTAGCAAAAATTTTTTGGACCTTTCTCCAAAGACAAAAGAAATAAAAGCAAAAATAAACAAATTGGACCTAATTAAACTTAAAAGCTTTTGCACAACAAAGGAAACCATCAACAAAACAAAAAGACAACCTACAGAATGGGAGAAAATATTTGCAAATGATATGACTGACGAAAGGTTAATATCAAAAATACATAACCAGGGCTTCCCTGGTGGCACAGTGCTTGGGAGTCCACCTGCCGATGCAGGGGACACTTGTTCATGCCCCGGTCCAGGAAGATCCCACATGCCGCAGAGCGGCTGGACCCGTGGGCCATGGCCGCTGAGCCTGCGCATCTGGAGCCTGTGCTCCGCAGCGGGAGAGGCCACAGCAGTGAGAGGCCCGCGTACCGCAAAAAAACACAAACAAAAACAAACAAAAAAATACATAAACAGGTCATACAACTCAACATCAAAAAAAAACAAACAATGAGCAGAAGATCTGAATAGACATTTTTCCAAAGACGACATGCAGATGTCTTACAGGCACATGAAAAGATGTTCAACATCACTAATTATCAGAGAAATGCAAATCAAAACAAAATGGGATATCACCTTACACCTGTCAGAATGGCTATCATCAAAAAGCCTACAAATAACAAATGTTGGAGAGGATGTGGAGAAAAGGAAACCCTTGTACACTGTTGATGCGAATGTAAATTGCTGCAGCCATTATGGAAAACAGTACAGAGGTTCCTCAAAAAACTAAAAATAGAACTGCCAAATGACCCAGCAATTCCCTCCTGGGTCTATACCCAGAAAAAATGAAAACACTAATTCGAAGATATATGTACCCCAATGTTCATAATAGCACTATTTACAATAGCCAAAATATGGAAGCCACCCCAGTGTCCATCAACAGACAAATAGATAAGAAGTGTTATAAATATATATATACAATGGAATATTACGCAGCCATAAAAAGTAAAAAATTCTGCCATTTGCAGCAATGTGGATGGACCTAGAGAATATTATGTTTGGTGAAATAAGTCAGACAAAGAAAGACAAATATTGTATGATATCACTTACATGTGGAACCTAAAAAATAATACAAATGAATGTATATAGCAAAACAGAAAGTGACTCACAGATATAGAAAAGAAACCAGTGGTTACCAGAGGGGGAAGGGAAGAGGGGAGGGGTAAATTAGGGCTATGGGATTAAGAGATACAAAATACTCTGTATAAAATAGATAAGCAACAAGGATATATTGTATAGCACAAGGAATTGTAGCCATTATCTTGTAATAACTACTAATGGAGTATAATCTGTAAAAATATTGAATCACTATGCTGTACACCTATAACCAATGTAATGTTGTACATCAACTGTATTTCCAAAAAAAAAAAAACCAAAATGAGGTACTTCACACTAGAAACTTTTAAAACATCTGTGAAGCAAATCCTTATTTTCAATACCACAATTGAAACTGGTCCTCAATGTCACTAGGCTTGGTCCCTTTTGAAGTTTTATCTGACTCTGCCTTTTAGAAGCAGAATTTTAATATTTGTAACAGACTCAGTTCATCAAGGAAAAGAAAACTACAAATCAACAATATTTGCTATTTAAAGAGAAAATGATAAATGGTTCTATTTTCTTCCTCTATGCTTACAGAAATCTCAACTGGCTCATATTCACACATATCTGTTTCCTGAGAAAGAGAGGGAATATAATGTAACATCTGAACACACTGCAATTTCTCATTACATCTTTAAAGGGCTTTTTGCCAAGAAAACTGGTTTAGCATGTTCATTTTTGATGTTTTGGTGTTCATGTTTGCATAAAGTACATAATGTCCAATTTAGTATTTTAGAATAAACTGATTAGCAAGTTATTTTAATAATTGTAAATGCTGAGGTTAGTAAAAGAAAAACTCCAGCTTCAGATAGGCTGACCTGCTCTCAAAATAATAATGTAGGACCTATTCCTTAAGGTTTATTATGTAATAAACAGAAAGTAAAATTGGTTCATATATTCACATCTATGCCATCTTAAGCCTCCATACTCACAGGGTCATTTTAATCAAACATTAGGATTATCTAGCACCATCAGAGGCATGTTTTCTGAAGTTATAGGTAAGCCACCATAGCTTCTTTCCATTAAGTCACATTAAGTTCTAGTTCATTCCATCTTTCCATGTTCTACTCAGTGACAAATATACATCAGTGTGACTGCCATTTACATGGAAGTAAAGTTATATCTTAGCAAAATGCTGTTCCAAAGCCCCATACACTGACTCCACGGGAATGAGACCTCATAGGCAGTAAATCATCATACCCAACTGAGTAAGTCTGATTGCAGTAGACAAAGGGGAAATGCAGATACTTTGTTTCTACTAAAAACCTTCTGTCCAAAAAGAAAGAAAGAAAATCTTCTGTCCAAAAAGAAAAGAAAATACAAAAAGAAAGAAAGAAAAAGAGCAGAACAAAGTTCTCATGGCGTATTTATTAAATGAAGATCTTGGTGGGAGAAGGCAGACCACACCCATTTAATTGAATTGCATGTTGTAAGTGAACTCTGCTGCTAGGTAAAAACTGTATAGCTTGTGGAATTTCACCAAAAGAAAAAAAGAAAAAGGTTCCAAATCTTTATATGGAATGTGAGGCTTGCATAATTCTTAAGCAATACCACCTGCTTTCATTCATAATGCAAAGAATAAATGTGAACCATACTTTCAGTGCATTATTCTAAAACTGGATAATTTAAATTCCTTTATTTATTAAACAGGCACTTGATTTAAGGCAGCACTTTGGACATCATAGAAGATGTAACAATGAATCAGAAGATAGGACCCCTGTCCTCAAAAAGGTTACACAATTCTAAGGGAGAAAAAGTGTGGGTGTGTGTGCCAAATGATGTCAAGAGAGTGTGTGTAAAATGATGTGATCAATACCCTTGGACATTCAGAAGAGAAGTAAGACTTTTAAAAGAGAAGATGAGGGAAGGTTACATTCAGAGAGGATAGGGTTAGAATTTAACTATTATTGAAGGGATACCTGAACAAGCCTGAGAAGAAAGGGGCCTGAGCAACATGGGAAAGCACTGGGAATCCTGAGCCCAGATCAGCTACAACCTGAATAACATTTAGGGCCCTAGATAGAGATTGATTTCAAAGGGAACGGCAGGTCAGAGTGTGGAGGCCTTGAACAGCAGGCCTGTTCAAGAATTCAGATTTCATTCAATAGGCGGAGGAGAGCCATAGAAGCTTTTTAAGCTGGGAAGTATGTTTATCAAAGTTGTACTTTGGGGGAATTAGTTTAGGTGGTTGACAATGGCAGGAGGAGAGGAGAGACCAGAGGCAGGGAGGCCTGATCAGGTTATCGCATTGGTCCAGTTGTGGTAGGAAGAGCAAGGGAGGGATGGACATGGGAGACACTGCAGGAGCAGAACAAACAAGATTGGAAGTGGGAAGCAAGAGAGAGAGAAGATTCAATGATGACTCAGATTTGAAGCCTGGGTGGTTGAGGTAACAGAAGTCAAGAGGACAATCTGAGTTGAGAGGGAAGAATGAGGAAATCAGTTTGAGGCCATATCTAGATGGCAGTTAGAAATACAGGGCTGAGGAGTTAGTTCAAAATTAGTAGATTACAGATTTAATAGGTAATAGATATAGATTTAATAGACAATATATTTTAGAGTAATCTACACGAGAGGAAAAGCTGAAGCTATTTAAATAGACTCAACAAATACAACACAGACTATGTTAGACTTCTAACATAAATAAATAATTGAATATTTGTTTATATCAAGAAAACTGCCCATAGTACTTGTATCCTGTACCATTGTACCAGTGTAAGATGCAACACTGGTTCAAAATTAAAACGAAAAACAAAAAACCTGACACTATACAAGTAGCTGGGATGGGAAGTTTGTGTACAGAAACGAACAAAACCACAATGATATATGGCATTTTACAAATTCATTCCTTGGAACAAATTTTCATCACTGAAATTTGGAAGTTAAAATACTAAGCAAATCTACTCAAATTATTTCTATCCATTCAAACTAATTTCTCTTTTCCTCTGAAATCAACATTGTTTTCTGGATAACCATCAAGAATATGTATTAGCTACCATTAAGAATAATGCATTTCATAAGAGTACTAATCTCAATCTTGATATGAACATTAATAAATACATTCATATGTTAGAATGCTCTTAATTGACCCCATTTGTGACTTTCAAGCATACCTCCTTATCTACTTATCCTACTCTACTTTAAACTATACTACCTTTATATTGAAGTGTTTAGTAAGGATTATTTTCAGTGTATTCTCCAAGCCTCACCTGGTCTGGGTTTCTCTGGAGGGCTGAGTTTCAGATGTTGGTCTTCGGATGAAAGGCTCACATTGATGCCATGCAGTGGATCATGCAAGAAAGAGGGCCTTTTCAGTCTCCCAATGCCAAGAGTCTTTGACATAAAATAGTCTTTTGTGTCACCAATAACCTTGTCCTCAGAAAGCTGGAGGCATTTCATATTCTTTGCTTCAACGACAAGAGCTTCTGATGACATAAAATGCCCAGTCGAGGCTTTGGTGAGATAGTAGCCTCTAGATGTTTCACTTTCGGCGTTCTCAGGCATACTTGCGTCTTCCACCTCAGTGCTTTTGACCTTTGTTTTTGACCCATCTAGTGACTCAGAGAGAATAGATCTGGAAAGCTGGGGCAACTCAGGTGTTATATCCTCAATGTCTTTCTTTTCTCTTTCTGAAGACAGTCTAATCATGGATTTTTGTTTAAGTGTGCATTCATCCAGAAGACACCTTAACTGTTCCTCAGAGAGAAGTGATGTTGAATCTAACTGGTGAAATAAACCAAAAGTTTTCATAGTCAATTGATTAAGTAAACACATTTAACTTTGGTAAGCTTCCAGTAGTACAGTATAAATGCAAGTAACAGGAAATCTTTCACTCAAAACACCCAAATAACAAAACCATTCGTATTAAAGTATCCAAAATTGCAGGGGAAATGTACAACATGCCTAGAGAATAAGTTTAGAATCAATCACACATACTAAAATCCAGAGAAAAGTCCCACAACACTGATGGAAATGAACTGCAGCACCAAATTAACCACTAACACTCCCTCTACACATAGAAGTACCTTGAGCTAAAATGAAGATATTAGAAAAGCACCTTCGATTTTATCAGTCTTGGGGCATCAAACAGGGTAGTAAGTAACCAGCTCTTTGATAAATAGCCAGGAATCCTGCCATAATCTCCAGTAGGTGTTTCTCTGTTCCCACTACTCCTTGGTGTAAACCCTATCACCACCCAATTCCTATATTAGGCAAACAGGGCAGATTCACCTGCCCCTGGGGATTCACCACTCGTATGTCTGTCTACAGCTTTCAGTGGACAATACTACCAAAGACAGAAAAGGAAGAGTGAAGGGGTGGTGCATCCTGAGATGTGTAGTTGCTTCAATGTTACAGGCCTAGACAGAGGCCAGGGACATTCCAATAGCAGTGCATTCTGGGAAGAGGATTTGATCATACACATTTAATCTCCGCTTGTAGATGTTATCAGGGCTGATTGTTTCAACCAAGATCTTAAGGATGTAAAAGTATTTCTTCTCTTCCAGTGATGCTCTCAGGAAATAAATCAAACAGAAGTATAGAGCTATGTTCTATAAGAATTCAACTGAACAGCATGCCACCTGAATTGCAACAATGTCAAAAAGAACGTGATTGAAATATATTGAAAGACACTGAAAAAAATTTCTCCTTCTTTAAAGAATCAGCCCTGTCCCTGATTTACATGGTGGATTATCTAGGACAACACTAATCCTCCTTCACAGGGGAATGAATTATCTGAAAACAAGAAATTCCCATAAGAAAACCTAATCATGAATTGTAATCGCCTTAATTTCTACTTCAGTAAATTAAAACAATGCTGTTGGTCTACTTTGTAGGACACAGTAAGAATTAACCAAATATTCTGCATGTATAAAGTATTGGGGCGGAGCTGTTATTAGAACTAGTATATTTAATTCCCCATTACTGTGCAATGCTTCTAATGCAGCTAACAAAAAGTAGTACATTAAACAAATTTTGTATCATGCTTTTAAAAAATATTATGTGTTTTAAAATTATATTTAACTTCCATATATTAAAAACCAGTTTTCATAGTGGCGAGTACCATTATGACTTTGAGAGTAACAAGAAATTGTCTGGGAATATATTCTTAATAATCATCTGGGATTCAAAATTCAGGTAAATCACCCTAAGGTTAATATGCACGTCAAAAAAAATAGGTTGAATTACATATTAGCAAATCCTACTTTTAATCACTAGACATTTCATGCATCCAGATGCATAGGAGCATTCCCTTCACCCTACTATGTAAACGTAGTCAACTAGAAAATGAAGGCAGCCCTTATATGGTACTAGATAACTAAAATATACTTTCAAAATCTGCATATATAAAATTCCTTATAATGAGTAAACAATTCCCTAGGATTTAGAAACCGTCCACTGAGTGTCATCCTCAGCAAACATCCAAACCAAAGGCTTAACATACGAAATTTCCAGACCCTAGAAAAAAATCAGTCCATACTAGAGCAAGAGGGTGAAGGATTATGGAAGGAGGTCTCTGGGAGGGGCGGGGAATAAAAGAGGGGGAGGTGGAAGATGGGTAGATCATCTGATATGTTTGCTCATGTCCCCAAATAATATTGGTAAGATAGATGCTTGGAAGTTCTGAAGACATATTTAGCTAGACACACAGAAATTTAAGTAAAAGGAAAAATAAAGCAATTATGAACTCTGGGGAAAACAGAAAGCTAGTTTTTCAGGTAGATAACAGAAAATTAAGCAAAAGAAAATAAGATAATTATTAACTCTAGGACAAACAAAAAAGTTGTACAAGAAAGGATACTATAGTATACTACTTGCTTTTGCTGTAAATGATGCTTTCACAGTCATCATAATATAAATAGTGATGACTGGGATAACCAAAAATTGTGATTTAACTATTTTGGAGAAGTGGTAGGAGAGAGAAGGAATGTTTGGAGTAACAATGTGAAACCCTTGGCTATAATTACAGGAAGTCAATATATAATTGATATAACAATACAGTACCATCATATTATTGATATGAAATGTTAGGTCATTGTAAATTGATATAAAACTGATCAATTAGGAAGGCAAGCTATTAAGAAATAATATAGAGTTAAAGCAGGGGAAACCTTCTAAAGGAATTAAAAGGGGTTGACTCTGGAGAGCAAAACTAAGAAATGGGGAAGAATGGGCAAGGAGCTATCATTTTTGTTTAAAACATTTTAACACAACTATTTATTTTATTACTATAAGAAAAATTAAAATTAACTTAAAATAAAATATAAAAGTGATTTAAATGCATTCAAAAATTTTAAATAAAATTAATTTAAAAATAAATATCTGGGGCTTCCCTGGTGGCACAGTGGTTAAGAATCCACCTGCCAATGCAGGGGACACAGATTTGAGCCCTGGTCCAGGAAGATCCCACATGCCGCAGAGCAACTAAGCCCGTGCGCCACAACAACTGAGCCTGCGCTCTAGAGCCTGCGAGGCACAACTACTGAGCCCGTGTGCTACAACTACTGAAGCCCGTGCGCCTAGAGCCCGTGCTCCACAACAAGAGAAGCCACCACAATGAGAAGCCCACGCACCCCAATGAAGAGTAGACCCCCACTCACCTCAACTAGAGAAAGCCCGCGCACAGCAATGAAGGCCCGATGCAGCCATAAATAAATAAAATTATTTTTAAAAAATAAATAAAAAAATAAAACTCTGGAATATTAAAATGAAATTCCCAACTGGTTATATCTTTGGGCATCAGAAGCAGATCCAGGTTTCATGGAGCCTGAAGTTTATGTAATATTGGAGCAGGGGAGGGTACTTCTTTAAGAAAAAGAATACAAAATTACAAATAGAAAATAGGTATAAAAGTGAGTTTTTCTTCTTTGGAATGTGAAAAAGATCACAAAAAATTAATGGGGGGAAACATCAAGCCCATCTCTTACACTATCTCTTTAGGTCATTTACCAGAAATGCTTATGTTTCCTGACTGCAACCTTGCTTCCTCTCCCCACTCAAGGTTCATACAAGAGAGGGCCCCTGAAGCTTAAGCTTCACTGGTTTCACAGTAAATCTTCTGGGTGCTCCAAGATAAAGCATAACACATTTGAGTCTGTATGTACACAGAAATAAGCTCAACTACAATAACCCCGATCCTCTGGGGGAAGCAGCCCAATGGGAAAGAAAACACAAAAGACTAGAACTTGGGCTTCAGTTCAAGCTTTGCCACCTTGTGCGTATCACCTAAGGGGCCCATTTACTGCAGGTGTGAAATAAGGAATTGAAGAAGATGATCTCTACATTAACTTGTAGCTCTAAAATTGCTTTTTATGAATAACTACTCTAAAATTAAAAATACACATTAGAATAAGCTGTTCTATTGCACCTCAGAATGTCACCTGGGTAGAATTTATGAAAACAATAACAAAAAGAGAACTTTTATTTCTTTAATTTCTTCACAATACCATCTTGAACTCAAAAAATAACTAAAAATTCTCTGGTCTCAAAACATTGTAAGTACAAGTAAACCAAGTATATTAAGCTCTCAAATTAAATTAATTTCATTACAGTGTTTCTGGGTGGTAAGACATCAGAACCTTCAACACAAGCCATCTTTCTCATCTTTTGATTCCCTGCAGAGCCTTGCCCACAGTACATGCTCAGTAAATCAGTGTTGTGGAAGGTTGCTGAGTGTTTTGAAATGGCTAAGTACTACATTGATATAAGTTATTTACAAATGGCGGAACTGGACTAAATGGGGCTTATCACAAACATCTCTAATGACCCTTGATAGGTCCGGGGCCATAACCCACACCTTTCATCCAGATTGTCTTGAAACTCTGAACTAATTAAGCTCCGTATCTCAACGACTGACTCACTGTGCAAGCACAGTCAAGTAACCATCTGTTCAAGTCTTTACCTCAAAGTATTCGTCTTTCATGCCAGCTCTAATTTTCCAGTATTTCATAAACAAGTTATTATTCATGCTATTCCTGTCGTTCATGAAATTCATCATAGTGCATCTCAGTCTTCATTTTTCCAGACCAGAGCCCAATCTATTTTCTCTCCTTCTATGAAAGCCCCTCTTTTCCCATCCTCATTTAAATAGTCTTTTTATGGATCTTCTTTCTTGTTTTAGCCAAAACACACACACTCTGTAGTCACAGAGTAAATGTATTGGATTTTCTCATCAGGAAAAAACTATAGAACACTTGTGGTGTTAGTTCTCATGCATCTTGCTGGTCTTGTTGGCACCCCAGGTGATGTCGTACAGAATAATAAAAACTAGCATTTACTAAGCACCTACTTTGGGCCAGATACTGCCCTATGCATCTTACATGTATCAATTCCTTTAATCTCCATAACAAACCTATGCAGTAGATACTATTGTTATTCCCATTTTATAGATGAAGAGCTGAGGCAATGAGAAATTAAGTAATGAGTCCTTGGTCATACAACTACTAGGTGGTGGGACTTGAATCCAGATAGTCTGGGTCCAGAGCTTATATGCCTTACATAGTCTCTCATTGTAAATGAGTTCTCCCTCTACCATTCTCTAAGTATCCTTTTCCCAACTGACATTCACTTTTCTGTCCATTCCCTCAGATATTAAAAACTCTTCCTGTAGATTATTTCACTTAACTTTGGATTTTATTACCCCAACTACCTCAGCATCTTACACAGATTTACACAGTGTCCTCTACTTCAGCTCACTTCAGGAAAAAAAAAAAAGACAACCCCAC